TTGGTGGCCAGTTCCTCCAGTTCTACCAGTGGCCACCAGTGCGAAGCGGCCGCGCCGCCCTCCTCAGTCCTTTTTCCCAGATATTTATTGATACGGATCAGACCAGATCCCCCCTCAGCCGAATCCCACAGGATTGAGGCCGGACGGGCCTCTAGGGCTGCTCCAGCAGGGACACCCGGAGCACGCGCGTGGCTCCGGGCCCCTTTTCCACACCCGGAATCCCCGGGAGAGCCCGAGCTGCTCTTGGATCCCTGCCGTGCGACGCAGCCCTGCTCCCTGCAGCGTTTCCCTCCCGCTGCCGCTCCGCCTTTGGGAGGAGTCTAGGCTCGCGTCTAGGTCTTGGATCCCTGCCGTGCGACGCAGCCCTGCTCCCTGCAGCGTTTCCCTCCCGCTGCCGCTCCGCCTTTGGGAGGAGTCTAGGCTCGCGTCTAGGCTCGCGTCTAGGCCCGCGTTTAGGCCGGGACTCCGCAGGGAGAGGCCGGCGCGCTGACGCTGCCGTGGTGTCTCCGCAGGGACGTGCAGATCGGCGACATCGTCACCGTGGGCGAGTGCCGGCCCCTCAGCAAGACCGTCCGCTTCAACGTGCTCAAGGTCACCAAGGCGGCCGGCACCAAGAAGCAGTTCCAGAAGTTCTGAGCGCGCCGGGGGCCGATAAAACGTTGCCTACAAACGAGCTCGGGGTGTCAGTGAAATAAAGAGGGAGGTAACGGCGCGTGGGAACTCGCAGGGCTCCGAGAATGAGCGCAGCGGGCACGTTTTGGGGAGAGSCGAGGGTTCTGCGGATGCCGCTGCGGTGTTTGGGGTTCCTCTGCAGGAGGAAGCGAGCGAGGGAGAAGACGGTGAGGTTTGTGCCTCTTAATAAAGAGGAATTTGGGGTTTTTCCCTGTGCGGTTGGTGTCTGCTGAGCGAGTGCTCCTGGGAGTGTGCTTTGGTGAGGAGCACTCGGCCCTGAGACCCGCGGACAAGAGGAATGCCGGCCTTTCCAACCGGTCTCCCTTCCCCGGCACCTGTATTCCAGGCTGAACACGATGCACGGGGAAGGAGCAACAGGGAATGTGCTTCCCGATCCTTTTGGCCTATTTTGGGAAAAGTTTCTGTGCCTTTCCCGGGCAGGTCGGCTGCTTCCCGTGCTTTTCCAGCCCTCCGTAGCAGAGCTGCAGAAGGTAACAGAAAATTACGGAATGTTCTAGTGTCAAGTGCCGACCACGGAAGTTGTCTGGTTAAAAATGACGATTTTCCTGCTAAAAAATGGCATTTTTTGTAATCAAAGACGACATTTTTCCTGAGGTTAAAGCCAAGGGGACGTGTTAAAGCCAAGGGGGGTTGATGCTGCAGAAATCCCGCTTCTCCTGCAGKTTTCCATAGGTGGTAGCGCGTGGTGGCCCCAGGAGCTGGGGGGAATCGCGTTGTTCTTGGAACAGAGTCAGTCCTCCAGGCAGGACACGGTCCCGTATCCGGGATAAAGAAGCGCCGTGGGGAGGGAAGGCGGCTCCGGAAGAGCGGCCTGAGAACCTGGG